ACATATCAAGAACTCCTTGATACGAGTTTAAATTGTCTACAAATCAAGTCAAATGAAGAACTCCTTGTTACGAGTTTAAACTATCTAAAAACCAAGTCAAATGAAGAACTCCTTGATACGAGTTTAAACTATCTACAAACCCAAGTCGAAGAACTCCCTAATACGAGTCTAAACTATCTGCATATCTCAATCAATTTCAAAACTTTGAGACTCATTCACTACCAAGACATTTTGTCCGTGAACAAAGCCTCAATGGGGCATTTGTAGACATCGAAATTTTAATATTTTATTAATTAATGTCTTTATTTATTTTTTGGACATAAATCCATGATAAATAAGATATATAATTAATAATGTTATTATTTCTTGTCCACCAAGTGAAATCTTAAGATTAGGAAAGAGATTATATCAAATCCTAAGATAAGGAAAGAGATTATATCAAATCAAGAAGGACCAATCAAATTGATGTCTTCTTTTCCAAAACTCTTTCTCCTACACCTATAAATAGGGCTCTCCTCAAGGTCAAAAATCACACCTCAAAAAAAAAAAATCCAACACCTCAATAAATCTACACCTCAAAAAAATCCATCACCTCAAAATCCAACACCTCATAAATCAAAGTCTCAATTTAAAGAGCTCTCAATAATTCTCTTGAAGATCCAAAGATGTTCTTGAAGATTCACGACATTCAAGTTAAAGATCAAAGAAGAGAAGAATCAGAGGGTTCCATATAGAGATTGTACCCACATATCGTTCGATCGAAATATATTCAAGTTGTACAAAAGTTTTATGTTTTTCATAAAATTTGTTGTTACAAATTTGACACGCCCGGTGGAACTTCAAATAAGGTTTGTTGTTACAAATATTTTGTAACAACAAATTTCGTGTGTTGAATTTATAAACACGAAAAATATTTTTCAAATGAATTCTCGAATCAAAATAAATATAGCGGGTTACAATCTCTATTATTCCTCTGATTCTTCTCACGAACAATTTTAAGTCTTGGAGCGAAATCTTCAGCTTGATCTTCTCCTTGACTTGATTTAACTTGAATTAACGTTAATCCGAGGGCTAACGCCCTGATTTTGGATCAAACGTCGAAATATCCCAAGAACGCGAAGAACACGAAACTTTGGTCTTCGTCGCAAAGTAGATCTTGAATCTTCTCCACTCCGGTTTTGAATTTACTAACGTTATTCGGGGGCTTTGCAGCTTGTTTCCGGATTGAACGCCAGTCTTGAGGTTGAACGCGCTCGAATGTTGTTTCGAATCTTCAAGAACGTCTTTGAATCTTCAAGAACACTTGACTCTCGTCGAGAGAATTCTCTAGAGCTCTTGAATTTGAATATGAATTATGTGGTGTGTTTTTGACTTTAGGGAAAGCCCCTATTTATAGGTGTAGGAGGGAGAACCCTACCAAATTTAAGAATCGTATGACGCAATTTGATTGGTCCATGATGATTCACATAAGATCTCTTAGATCTATCTAGATCTCCCAAGATCTTCTAGAAGACATATGATTTATTACCAAGAATTACGATTTGATACTTAGCAATATGTGATTGGTCAATAATTAAAATATTAAAATATCAATTAATTAACTATTTAAATTTAGGAATTAAATATGTGGAAATTCCAAAAAATATAAATAAAAAATATGACTTGATTTTTAATAAATTAATTTCCACGTGGCGCCATTTGATTGACCACAAATTTTATGTATCTACAAATGCCCCCACAAACGACGTGTCTTGGAGTGAATAAGTCAACGATATCTTTTATCGGGCTTTGAAGGACATGATATGGACTTACAAGGACCAAGAGAGCCCAGATTGATAAACTTGTCATGGTACCAAATGGCTCGAAGCCTTTACCCATTTAAATGGCATATATTGGACCTTTGATTAATTAAGCCCAATAACAAATTATCATCCATCTTGAATTGGAAGCCTTCAGCAAATACACATGATTTATTTCCTTCTTCTCAAATAAGTTGCGCCCGAAAACATTAAAACCATTCGCACTAATTGTTGTTGAACTTTTCGGTAAAGCTTCAAATAATTAGTTTCCAACAATATTTGTATGCCAAGCAAAACATATATTAACATATCTAATGTTTCCACACTTATGTACATCTTGCTGGTATGCAACGAAATTCTTTCCAACTCACGCTTCTGAAAGCATGCGCAATGCGAGGACAGATTATGAAAGACAATATTTTCTTTCCAACTTCCAAACTCTGAATCCATATCAAATTCCTTCATATATCAGGAGAGAAAAATTCGAAAATTATACAGGCTCTCTCCTATAAAAAGGGAGTCCTTTAGCCTCATTATCACCCAACGAGAAGTTAACCAACAAGTATACTTCTTTCTTCCCTATTTTTTTTTTTTTTTTTTTGTTTTTGTTCTTTATGCGCTCTGCTTTCTGTTTCTTATTGTGGTCTGTTGCTGCTGCATTCCGTGAATTTCTGGTGGGCTTCAAAGCTTCTCATCAACATCCACCTTTTATACGGCCGCCTTTCAAGTGTTCGACTGATTGCCCGAAAGGGATTTTCCCCGTTTATTCTCTTTCTTTCGTTACGTTTGAGCTGCAGCACCTCGTTCCGGACATTCATATGGCTGTCGAGGCTTCAAACGGGGTTGTTCACATGCTTTCGCTCCTTTACGGGGATGTTCAGGCTGAAACTATGGTTGTCCAGGCGCCTTGCGAGCTGAAACGGGGCTATTCGGGAGCTGTCCGGACTGAAAACGAGAGCTACCGGGCTGAAGCGGAAAGCTATCAAGACACGTTGTAGTCTCGAGGGACATTTGTAGAGACATAAAAATTGTGTCCAATCAAATGGCGCCAATCAAGTCATATTTTCTATTTATATTTTAGGAATTTTCATAAATTTAATTCCTAAATTTAAATAGTTAATTAATTGATATTTTAATATTTTAATTCTTGATCAATCAAATATTGACAAGTATCAAATCTTAATTCTTGGTAATAAATCACATGTCTTCTAGAAAATCTTGGGAGATCATCATCATGGACCAATCAAATCGCGTCCTACGATTCTTAAATTTGGTAGGGTTCTCCCTCCTACATCTATAAATAGGGGCTCTCCCTAATATAAAAAACACAACTCATGATTCATATTCAAATTCAAGAGCTCTAGAGAATTCTCTCGACGAGATTCAAATGTCTCTCGACGAGATTCAAATGTTCTTGAAGATTCAAAGACGTTCTTGAAAGTTCGAAGCAAGATTCAAACGCGTTCAACCTCAAGACTGACGTTTAATCCGGAAACAAGCCTTGAAGCCTCTGAATAACGTTAGTAAATTCAAAACCGGTGTGAATAAGATTCAAGATATACTTTACGACGAAGACCAAGGATTTGTGTTCTTGGCGGATTAACTTTAATTAAAGTCAAATTAATTCAAGGAGAAGATCAAGGCGAAGATTTCGCTCCAAGACTTAAAATTGTTCGTGAAAAGAATCAGAGAAAAAACAGAGATTGTAACCCATTATATTATTTTGATTCGAAAAATTCATTTGAATAATATTTTTCGTGTTTATAAATTCAATACACGAAATTTGTTATTACACCTACTTAGCAAATAATTATTGTACTCTTTATCCTGCATGCAAATAAATATCGTGTACTCTTTCTCTTATCTTCGATTGAATGGATTAAGACGACAAAATTAAACTATACTCATGCAGAGTAATGACCTATTAAGATCTTCATTATTGATATTTATGCTAGTTAATAGCTGTCTACCTACCTTTATAATTCTACAAGAATCACATTATTCACTTTTTTATTCTCTTAAGCTGACACGTAATGTACTTAAATATTTGAGAAACAATCAAGTACAGAACTTAAAAGAAAAATTAATCATATATTTAAGTAACAATCAAATACAAAACTAAAAGAAAAATGAATCATACATTGGTGAGCAATTCAGTATCTCAACCATCAGATCAATACACATCAAATGAGTATATGCGTGATCTAATGGTTAAAATGAGGGTTAAATCTTTCGATTAAAAAATAAAAAAATCAAATTCATTGCGACTAAATTGTCATATCATCACCATATAATGTGAGTATATATGTGATAAGACAATTTAAAATTGCACACTTTGAATCATTGTATTTTAATAGATACTCTAAAATAAAATTATTGATTAATATTTATTGAAACAATTTTTGAATAATGTACACAGCAGTCAAATCCTCTATTTTAGACTGAATGTCATTCTAACAACACTTTGATATTCTAATAAGTTTCTGAATTTTGATTAATATTTGTTTAATTTTTTTTGAATATATAGTATTGTTGCCTATTGGCCAATGGCCATAGACATTCTTTTTGGCCGCCGTCTGAAAACTTCTATATAGTATATACAGCGCACATGCGCATGTCAATGATATTTTTCGTATTTGTCATTTTTAAAGTAAGAAACTCAATGATTTCCCTACTGATTTATTGCAGCATTACTGGTTTTTCTACTACTGTAAATATTGAAACTTGAAAGTTGAAAGACCTTCTTCACCTGTACATATACATACATCCCACCAGAAAATAAATAAATAAATACACGAACCTACCATTAATCAAACCGAAAAAATTTCTCCATTTTAAGGGACCCCTGAATCTCGATCTATACAGGTTTCAGACGGACCCCGTGATTTGAATCCTTAAATTTAGCTTCTTTTCTTTTCTACAATCAAAGTGTTCATTCGTTTTTGTTTTCCCTTTTTTTTTTCCCTTCTATTTTTGGTGGGATTTTAAAGCAGTTTGATTAACTTCAACTGTTCTCACTGGGCTCTTATTTTTTCTTCTCAATCTTAGAATATTTGCGCGAATTCATACACAGAACCTTTCTGTCTCTGTGTTCTTGGCTACAATCTGTCAAAAGATTGGAACTTTTTATCTGGGTTCTCATTTTTTTCCTCCAGCGAGACATTTACAGCTCAATAATCCATAGCTTTTTTTTTTTTTTTTTTTTTTTTTTTTTTTTTNTTATTAACATTTGCAGTAATCTGATTTACTCGAAGACCTCAGCTTAAAGTGGGTCTTGGATTTTTACTCAAAGTCAGCATCTTTTTAGTATCTGCAGCGATATTATGTTGGTTTAAGCTGATTTAGGAGATGAAAGGTTAAAATACGGAGTAGTTGTTGTACTTTGAAAGAGTTTTAGGGTGAGATGAGACGCTATTTTCTGGGATTTAGAGGACAACAATGACTACAGGGTCATTGGGTCTTCGATCTTCAGGCAGTTACGGTTCATTACAGCAATTTCAAAATGGTTCCTTGTTTTTCCCAATTCAGACAACACCACCAACCTCTCGAAAGCCTCCTAAGACGGTTAAGGATAAAGATAAGCTAATCCTTTGGATAATTAAGTTTGCACAGAGAAAGAAGATTGGGATGCTGCTCTTATGCCTTGTTTCCTTAGCTGTTTTCATGTGGGTTTTGATTGTTGGCAAAGGTTTGAATTCCTATTCCTTTTTATTATTTTTTTATCGTTTTTGCTTTTGTTGTTTTGGATTAAAAAGAGACTGAGAATGGGGATAGGGTTGATTATTGAATGAGTGAAGGGCATATGATTGGGGTTTGGGGTTTTTGAATTAGACGAGTCGAAACCATAAATGTTGATTTCAGTTTCTTGAATTGTGGAGAAAATGTACTAAAAAGCAATCATATTATTCTGCATATGGTTTTTGAATGTTTTTAATTGTTTATAGAGTATGTTGCTGAATGATAGATTATGCTGATTCTTGAAATGAAAAGACTTTGAATTGCTTTCCATTTGATTTTTGAGAGAAAAACACTAATTTTGTTAAACGATTCTTGTTTTTTCGGCGAAGATGCTCCAGAGAGTATTATTCCCAGCATAAATATGGTGCCCGGGCCATTATCCGAGGACAATGTTGATGTGAATGTAAATTTATCTTCACAAATTATGGCTGTCAAAGCAAGTACAGAAAATACTATACAGCCCGTGTTCTTTACGGGATACAAACTTCCACCCGGGAATCCATGCGAGAATTTCACATTGCCTCCACCACCGGCCGATAAAAAGAGGACGGGCCCACGTCGTGCGTTTCTTTTGCTTTTTATCTTTTCTTCTTTCTTTCTTTCTGTATTAAAGTTGGTTACTACTCATTTTTTCTGTCTTTATTTTCATGCTGTTTGTTTTTTGTGCAGCTTGTCCTGTGTGTTATCTGCCTTCTGAAGATGCTGTTGCTCTCATGCCAAATGCGCCATCTTTTTCTCCCGTGCTCAAAGACTTGAAATATATTCACAAGGAGAATTTAACTAAATCCGAGGTTGGAGGCTCGGAATTCGGTGGATATCCTTCATTGAGTCAGAGGAGTGATTCGTATGATATACGAGATTCGATGAGTGTGCATTGCGGGTATGATTTTTCATTTTTTAGACAGTTTATTGTTGATACTTTTGACTGCATTGAAATATATTTTACTCGAAACTATTCTCTCTTTCACTTAATGCTTGCTGGCTATTTGTAGTTTTCACTTAAAAGGAAAAAGGAAAATTAAAAAGATTCATGTTTGAACTTTTATCATCCCATTGATATTTCTATGACTTATACTAAGTCTTTATGTTTGATTTTCCATTGTAATAGATTTGTGAAAGGAACAAAGCCAGGTCATCAGACGGGCTTCGACATTAACGAATCTGATCTCCTCGAGATGGAAAATTGTCGGGGGATCATTGTTGCATCGGCAATATTTGGTACTTCCACCAAAAAATTCCCATTTGTCGTGTTTCGAAAATTTTGATATATTTTTTTTTTTTGATAATTAATATTTGGGAAATAAATACATTCTTGTTTAGGGGCATTTGACTTGATACGGCAGCCAAAGGGTATCAGTGAGCATTCTCAGCAAAATGTGTGCTTTCATATGTTTGTGGATGAACAAACCGAGTGTTATTTGAAGAATTCAAGTGCAGTTAACATTGAGAAGAAAGTCGGGCTATGGAGAATTATAGTTGTTCACAATTTGCCGTATTCTGATCCGAGACGTAATGGAAAGGTAAAACGCCTCGAAAATCGGTTGATTAATTTGGCCTTTTGCTAATATCAATGTCAAGACAGAAAAAATAAAAAGACTATCATCCTCAAAGTGAATGCCTCATCTAAGTTTACAGTATCTCTCATCATTCTTCATTATGTTTGATTTATTTTCATTCAGTTGTACAATGCCGTTAAGTTAATTAATTCATTTTCCGTTTAGATTCCTAAACTGTTGCTTCATCGGCTTTTCCCTAATGCCCGTTACTCGATTTGGATCGATGCAAAGCTAGAGCTCGTTGTGGACCCATTTCAAATTCTCGAAAGGTAAATTTGTTGTACACATTTTCGAACTTTATTCTGAAAATACACGGACACTTTTTTGTGTTTCGGTTTTGCATAAATTGGTGAAATATGTTATAATCTCTGCTTTTACATGCATGCTCGTGTTCTTTACTACAAAATTGAACATGTAACTAAAAAAATACTGGAAATGTGTTAAGAGAAGTACTTTTTTTTTTTATTATTATTATTATACTTTGCAGATTCTTGTGGAGAAAAAATGCAAGCTTTGCAATATCAAGACACTATAAGCGCTTCGATGTTTTTGAAGAGGCAGAAGCTAATAAAGCCGCAGGGAAATACGACAATGCCTCCATTGACTTCCAGATCGAATTTTACAAAAAGGAGGGTTTAACACCATATTCCGAGGAAAAATTGCCAATCAGTAGTGGTAGATATATAATAACTGTTCTGTATTTAATTTCATAATTTTTTTACCATGATCGGTAATTCATCGTGCATGTTTTTTCTTTACCAGACGTACCGGAAGGATGTGTAATAATCAAAGAGCACATTCCAATCGCCAATTTGTTTACGTGTCTGTGGTTCAATGAAGTCGATCGTTTTACGTCGAGAGATCAGTTAAGTTTCTCAACCGTAAGGGATAAGATCCGCTCGAGGACCAATTACACGATAAATATGTTCTTGGATTGCGAACGTCGCAATTTTGTGGTCCAGGTAAAAGTGAAAAATTATAAAGATCCCATTAAAGTTTTACTAATACCCACTTCATTTCTGCATAGAGCCGCCAAAATCCTGGTTTCATTTGTAAAAATGGAAACAAAAATAAGTTCCTATGCATAAACTCATGAGTGTTTTCTTTCTAATAATCAAATGTTTTTTTTTTTTTTTTCATTCAAAATGTCAGGTTGTGTTTGATAAGCATATATGCTAGCTTATAGCTTATTTGATTAACTTATAAGCTTGCTGTCTTCATATAAGCTTGTTGACATTTTTATTTCAGCTAGTTTATCAGCTAATTTTACCACACTTTTATTATATAAGCTAGTTTTTCAGCAATAAGCTATCAGCTATAAGCTCGAAATTCATTTAAAAGTTATAAACTAACTCATCAGCTATAAGTTTGATATTGAGAATTCCAGCCCCTACTTGGAATTATCAGCTAGGTTTACCAAACATAGCCTTAATGAATGCATTTTTAACCGGTCTTACATTCGCAAAATCGTTCATTCGCCTCATATTTTTTGTTACAGGGTTACCATAGGGACATGCTCGAGCATCAGTCACAGCCATCCGATGACATATTAACTTACATCCATTCTCCCAATCCACTCGTAAACCCAAATGATTATAATCTGAAAACAAAACCGGCCGAGTTTCTGGTGGACCCCATCACGGTGAATCCAAACCTGAAATTTCCCACCAAAGAGAGAAAGTCGAGGCGCCACCGGAAAACCACCAATCCAAATTTTGTCTAAGCAAAAGGTTCTTATTTGTTTAATTTGCTCTCCTGTTTTAAGGGGAAAACCAACATTTATAATGACTGTGAGAGACTGGGATTTGTTGTGCAGGATGAGAGCTGTAGAGTGTAGATTTAATTCCATATAGCAACTTTTTTTTTCCTATCTTTTTGCTTCCTTCTTGGTGTACTATCCATATTGAGTTTGTACATATATAATGATATTTTTCCTTTTTATCCCTCTCTTTATTATTGTTGGAGACGTACGAACCTCTCACGCAGCGGAATTTTTAAAATTTTATTACCAACAACGAAAATCCGGCTATAGTTATTCGATATGATCTTAGTTCGCGTGAATAATTAACGAAACTTACAGTTGTTCGTCTATGTCCTCGACTATGGTATCTACGCAATCCAGTTTTTCGGTGCACGATCTAACGGCTATGAATCTTTTCCGGTGAAGACGCTAGGAATTATCGATTCAGAAAACTTGAGAATGTTTATTTTTACGATGTATATTTTCTTCTTCTCTCATCTAATGATTATAAGACTATAATCAAATAATGACCTATTTATAATTAGGTCAAATCTAATTATATCTCTCATCTAATGATTATAAGACTATAATCAGATAATGACCTATTTATAATTAGGTCAAATCTAATTATATGGATCGTAAGAGATTCTATGGCCCAATAAGTACTTGGACTTAATTCAATCACAATTTAATTAAGTATAAATTTAATTTAACTTAATTAAATATTATCTATCAAATAGAAAATAGTTTCATTACTCATAAATAAATATCCCAATCCCATTGAATATTTAACACTCTCGATTCACTCTTAGTCGGAAAACTGATTGCATATTGTGTGACCCTATAGGCCTTAATGTTGACATAAATCTAATTTATGATCCTTACGAAACTCCTAGACTGCGTCGAAGGGCGAACTCAAAATATGAAGTACGTTTACATGGACAAAGCAAACAAACCTTTAGTGTAGAACTCAATAGTGATAAGATCCTTTCATTCACGAACCACTCAATTAAGCTTAGGATTTGAACGTGTGTCTATCCAAACAGCTTAATCATTTTATCTCATCTCACTGGTTGATTTTAATTAATTATATTTGAACACCACTTCAAATATAATCGCGTGCATTGGTCAATGACTTTATCAACTCAGTATAGAGAAAACGAGTGTTCTCTCGAAAACTATATTCGAAGAATGAATCCTATCTTGGCTGACCTACCAATTCCATATATATTATGATCTACCCAACACAAGCCCGTGTCTACCCATAAGGGCGTAAGCGTTGGACTAGGTCTAAGTAAATCACTCTATACATGAATTGCGTATTGGACTCAAGTCAAAGGACTATTACACCATTCCACAGACCGATACTCTCATAGGTATAGGTAGGGCCATGTGTCCATCACGAATAACAATTATTCATAACAGTGAGATATACGATATTCTCCTAGAATGTGATGCAGACCAAATGTCAATCTATCGCCTATCATTAATATCCCTTTCTTAATGATCATCGATTGAGGCGATTTGAGAGTTATACTTTATCAATTAACATCTCACTCTGTTAATGTCAGTATTAACTAAAGGGAGCAATTAATTAATAAATTGCAAACAGTCAAACAATTATTTAATTATAATCTAATATAATTATTAATGTGATCATGTATATATGTCCTTAAAAAGATTGTCTATAGGACACATATACTAACAATTATTACTGTTTTTATTTGTGATATGGGGTTTGAGGCAATGGCCTTCCCGCCTGCTATTAGAGGTGTTCAACGAAACAAGCTGATTATGAGCTCGACTCAAACTTATTATGTTAACGAGTCGAACTAAGCTCGTTAATGCATGACCTTAACTCGACTTGATAAGACTCGAATTCGATTTTCTTATATTGTTAAACAAGTTGACCTCGAGCTTGTTTATTAGCTCGTTGATTAAAGCTCGAGCCCAATCTCGGCTAATCTCGTTTACACCTCTACATGCCATGTACATATTATTATCTGTGTAACGTGTACATGCAAGAACTTGAAAATTTTCAGGCACAATATAAATAAAAAACGAATGAGGGGGGATTGGTTCACCCTGCTTATTACCTCTTGTTGGTCTCACATAATCAATCTATTAATATATAAAAAAGATACGGATTTACTTGAAATAGCATGCAAATTCCTGCCTAAAATTTTTAAAGATACTAAACTTAGTAATTTTTTTTGAAATTTTTTTACAATTCCCGCCCATGGTTTTTTTGAAATATTTAGAATTTTTAGAAGTGACATAAATTATCTTTTTTAATAGATATGTATTCCATCTTATCTTGATGTTCATATTTATCTCAATTCTATCTTTTTTTTTTCCTTAAATTTTGTTTCTTTTTTTTTGGGTATTGTTTTTATTCAATTTTAACTAGTACAACACGTGTGTACTACACGGGTGCATGAAAAAAAATAATTTGAATAAAAACAGTAATGTGAAGAAATATAAAGAAACTTGTTACCATATATTTGTCAAACATTTGGAAACATTTTTAACTTAGTTATCAAATAAAAGAATATAAAAAATTTAATATGGATATGGTGTTAGTTAACTCAATTATTAAATAAAAGAATACAAAACATTAATTATCAAATAAAATAAACACTGTTAACTCGACACTAATCTTCTGTCAATTAAAACATCCATTGTCAACTCAATTATTAAATTCAAGTGATCTTTAATATGAAAAAATAAAACAAGGAAAGAAAGATGTGTGTGAACTTTAAATTCAAAACAAATTTGTTAATGAAAGAGAGAATGATGGGAGACAATAATGTATGTTGAAAAAATTATTAATTGCACTTTTCAAGCTAATTTTGTTTCTAATTTTTGTAGCCGAACCTAAATATAAAACATGATATTGTGACATGTAGGATTTCAAAGCGTGCGAGCCTGGCATTTAGGCTCAACATATTTTGAATTAATATATATACTAGTACAACACCCGTGTGCTACACATGTATTGAATTAAGAAATATTTACATAAAAATATTTAAAGATAAACATAACAATTTTATTTTAATTTTTTTAATGTCGTTGCCATTATTTTCCGTGATGTATAATCTCCTCACCCACTCAAATAAAAAAAAATGGTATAAATGGTTCATTTTATACATGGTAGTATAAAAATATTGAGATGTGTGAATAAAATTATTTATGGCAGTAAATGAATAATTCATTTCAACAAAAATTTTTGTCAAAGACACACGGGGATGTGGCTAACAAATAGAAACAAAATATATACAATTCCCTATGTACTGTAAACTTAAATTTCATTTTGTATGCAATTTCATTTTGTCCAGCAAATGGATTTGCCATACTGGAGAATTAAATTTCATGTATACAATTCATTTTGATTAATAAACTTAAATTTTATTTGTATACATAAGAGAGACTATTTCATTTTGTATATGTTAGAGAAAATTCATTTTCAGCCCCAGTCGTATTAATATTGATTAATATTAAATTTATGTGAAACAATAAATGGTAATGAAAGAGAGATTTATAGGATATTGATTAATAACAAATTTATGGGAAGCAACAAATTTATGGTAATGAAGATAGATTTATAAGGTAAGATGAAATAATTATTTATGGTTGATTCAAAACCAATTATGCTCCAAAATTTTTATCCGAACCTAAATACAAAGAAATATATTTTGATATGTATGATTCCAAAGCGTGCGAGCCTGCCACTTAGGCTCAGCATGTTTTGAATTAATATATAAGGGAGATATCCTTAATTAGATATTTAGAGCTATTAACAATAATAAAAGTCAAATAAATTGCCGAGTGTCATATTCTAAATTCTTCATATGAAGCATGACAATTTATTTTTTTTCCATATATTCTTTTTTTCCTTTTCCAATATTACGTCTTTTTTCCCTTTTTTTTATAACTTTTAAATTTCAATTTCTTAAGATGTTGGAAATATTTTTTCTTTTTCTATTTTAACATTTATTATATACAAATTAAAATATTTATCAATCTTACCAAAAATTTGGAATCACTTTACTAAACTAAAAATGAAAAATTCAAAGTATTCCTCAATCTAAATAATCTCAAAATTTATGAGAATACCCGATAACTATGATCAATTTGAAAGAATTTGAAATTATAGGATAATTACAAACCATAAACGTAGCAAATAAATTATATGGTTATAATATTTACATTGTTTTGAAATCAAATATTTCATTAGGTAGTTAAGTTTTCAAACATTCCTAAAACTTTTTTAATCTATGTATAAGTAATTACAATAAAATAATATGTCGATCATTCACATTTTTATTTTATGCTCAATAGACTAGACAATAAAGTATATACTTTTTAACTAAAACCTTTATGATTGCATATCATCTTTAAAAAAAATATATCTATAGATAAGTTGATAGTAATAACTAAATAAATATTAAACTCTTAAGTTTCAATATTTCATGTTTTTATTCAAAGTCCTTTACATCTCTGATGTTATGCGGAGCCTTCTTAATTTTCTTTGGATATATTTGAAAAAAAATCGAAAAATCCCGCATTTGGCTGATATATTTAAGTTTAAAATTCAAATAATTAAATCAATCTCACGTAATGAAATCTCTTTATTTTGGTTGTTAATGACACAAATTTACTTCCTAATTAAATCAATCACACGCAATTTCTCAGACTGCACGTTCTTATACTTGACTTTTTTTACGGACGAGATTTTTTGCAAGGAAGTTCCGTTTTTTTTTTGTTTTTTTTTTGCCCGGAGAATTTACGCACGTGTGACGTGACAGGTGAGAAGTCATCGACTGATAGGAAAGTCAGTTTCAATATAGACTGTATTGTTAGTTTTCATATCTTTCTTGGATTGTTATTATTACCCACAATAGATGAATTATTCATTTTCATGTTTATTGCTACTAATTATTTATGCATCATATTTATTTATGGGATTTGCATATTATTTATCTGATATGCATAATATTTATTTATGGGATGTCCTATCTAATATGCATGATAGTTAATTAGTTGCTTATTTTTCATAGGAATTAATTATATCAATTAATTAGTTGTTTTGTTTGCATGATAATTTATTATAAAAAATGCATATTAGGAAACCAATAATGAGATGTTTTAAATATAAATAACAATATTTAAAATAAAGTTAAATTTTTTTTTGAGAAATAAGTTTGTCTGTACATCGTACAGAATATACACTAGTTGGTTCGACTCTTTTGTTTACTTGGATGAGTCGTGCTCGAACACCTAATTGAACTTATTTAAATGAGTCAAGCTCAAATAACTCATCGAGCTCATTTATTAAGCAAACAAAGACAGAGCTTGTTCACGAACAAATGATTTTTTTTATTTTTTGTTTTTTTAAATTAAATAGCACAGCTGAATTTATTCATGATCGAACATATTTTTTTTAGATTTATTTAAACGACTCAATTATTAAACGTGATCTCGAACACGAGATGATCAAACTCGGCTCGATTCGACTAGAATAACATCCCTCAAGTCAAAGTAAATCGCTAATTTTGTACTTTTGAATTATTGAAGCAAAAAAGGCACTGTATTTCTTCCCAAAAACCTCCCTAAAATCTCAATTGAATTTGAACTCCATCTACCCTAAAGCAGACTATCGCACAGACTGAAATGAAAATGCAAGAAGAGGACAAGACAAGAGGTGAAAGTGAACAACTCGACGGCGTCGACGACGACGACGACGGGCCGCCGCCTGGGTTTCAATGCATCATCAGCAGACAGCCGCCGCCACAATCCCAACCAGCTGAAGAAATTAACAAAGAAGAAGATGAAGGTGAAGATGAGGGCCCACCTCCTGGATTTGAACCAGTTGCTCCGAATTCCTCGTCCCCGCCACCTTCTTCTTCTGGTTGTCGTATAAAAAATAATTTTTCCTTCATTCGATTTTCGATCTGCCCTTTTGTGGAAATTATTTTGTAGAAGTTGGGGTTTCAATGGTTTGGTCTTATTATTTTTTTATTTTGAGATGAGGTGTTTTTGCTGTTGCACGGTGTTTGTTCATCTTCGTTTTGTTAACTTGTTTATTAACCTTTGAAAGAATTTGGTTTAAATGATCCACGCTGCTTGAAAAGAATTTGGGTTTCTATTAAGAATCTGTGTTTTTAATGATTGTATATTGTGAAGTTTTGTCAATGCTGGTGGAATTTTGCGACTGGGTTTTGTGCTGAAGATGTAGGCTTAGATGAAGTTGTGCTCATATGTAATTGCAATTTATTTTTCCTTTTTCCTTTTTTTTTTTCTTTTCTTTGCCCTTTTTTTTTGTAGTTTGGTGTCTTTTGCTATACATCAAGGGACTGATTTTATTTGGTCATAAATTGCAGCTCTTCTTTAAAGAGGGATTTCCTACTATGCTCACTCACATTTTCTATGTTAATTTTTTATGAGCGTAGCTTTGAGTACAAGAAGTGTTAAATGTGAATGAGTTGGATAGATTTATCAATGTTTCTAATAGGCTCATGAAAAGATGCATGCTTAAAATGCTAATTTCGGGTGTACATTTGGAAATAACTTAGACATAAATTAATTGATTCGTTGTAAATTAGATACGGAAGGAAAGAACAAAGAAGATGAGACTGATGATGGTGAAGACGATGAAGGGCCACCACCTGGTTGGGAGTTTGGTGCTCTCGTAAATGCATTGGCAAAACCAACTTCAGACACAACAAGTAATTTCTCTTTCTCTCTCTCTCTCTCTCTCTCCTTGCCTCTTTTCATGTCGTCTAGATTTCTTCCATTTGAGTGCTTTATAAGGAAAACACTGGATACTTGAAGTTGTTGATTTAGTCGGTATTTATAACTAGTTAAGTCGACGAGCATTTGTTGAAGAATTTTTATGTTTATGGTTCTAAATTTTACCTACAAATGTGGTATGTACATCACTTTTATAATTTTTATTGATTATTGATGTTCCTTAAAATGATAAGACCCGTACTGATCAATACCCATGTCTTCCTCTCTGTCTGTCAATACCCGAAAAGTACAAAAATCTCTAGACTTGTGATTGGACTGGAAAAAAGGAAAAAGATAAATAAAAAATAAAAGACTAACTTGCGTGTTGAGCCCATTCAGATTTAGTGTAAAGAACATGCTTTGTATTTGTTCTGCAGATATCCCGATTCTCATGTATTGTTGTCGGTCTAATTTATGCCTTTGGTTTTATGTTGAATACAGCTGATATAAAAACGGAGAGCAATGAAGAGTTGGATGAAGGGCCTCCACCTGGTTGGGAAATCATGATGCCACGTCAGCTGCCACGTCAGATGCCACCACCATGCACGCCTCCCTTACAATCATCATCATCATTGTCTCCTAGTGAGTTTTTCCTTTTTCACCCCTCGTCTTTCCAATCGCAAGTAAATCTTTCAGGAAGGGTTACATTTTTATATACTTTGCTCGTTTGAATCTTGTGCGTTGACTCTGGAATATACATAATGTTACATGATTGAAGTTTTGGTTAGAAATTGTGCTTGTTCGGTTTGACTTAGCTCTTTGACGCTTTGGTCTTGCGATATCACACTTTATAGGCAATGGCATGCCTAATTGTTGATTTGGAATTTAGTCCAATTACAATAGGTTTATAGTACTTTATTAATTTGAGTTGCCTGTATTTACATGTGTTAGTGGTCTCAACACACAAGTGGAAAAAAAAGGTGCACAAGTACTAGTTAATCATGGTAAATGTGCGAGATATGTATGTAATAAAAGACAGTCCATAACTTAACTTACAGACATCACAGGTATTGAAATCGCGGGCAAACAAGAAACTATGAGAAATTACGATGAAGTCCCTCCATCAGTCTCTCAGTCAAAGCCCACATCAGGGCATTATCTGCTGCCTACACCACCATCGTCAGAAGTGCCTATCGGTCAGTTTCGAAAATGTTATTATTCCATGCTGATAAACAACAAATTATTTTCCAAATGTTTTAAGATCCAACTTTCCCTACTTTTTTCTAATGAAAAATAACTAGGTTGACAAAAAAGGGATGTTCTAGTTGTACACTCGGTTGGCAATGTAGCATTTCTCTTTTCTAATTGTTTTTTTTTTTTTTNATTTTCGTTGAATACTGTTTCAAAGGTTCATTTTTAAAATTTATGGGATAGTTACAGAAATGACTCTTGAGGTGTAGCCGTGTAGCCTAGTTTGGGAGAATCACAAAAATTTTGGTTGAAAATTAGCCTATTTGCAGAAGGTTGAATTATAGAAGTTTTATGTCACTTAGCCTAATTAACCCTTGAGGCTGAGCTTCCTCTTGTGGATACAATTTATATACAAGTATCCAAGCGGCATTTCCGCATATTTGTAATTTTGAAAGGTTATTGGACTTCTTGTAGCGTGGCAGAACAGCAACGAGTATTTAAATTGTAACCCTACATAATATAATTCAATCTTCTGAACATTTTCCTAATTAAATTTGATGTCTAATGCTCTCTCTATACATGCTAAATTCAGCATGATTTTAGTATTGAACCCTTTTCGATAATTTTTTTTTATTTTATTATTCTAAATAAAGGGAACAAAATATACAACAAAAAAGTCCGGATCAAAAGGCCAACTTCTGGAAATCACCTTTCATCTCCATTACAGCAACCGAGACCCAACTCCCGCCCATTATCACAACCTGTACAGCCATCATCATCCGGTAAGATTCTTATATTTTATACTAATTTACATTACACGGAAGCTTTTCAAGATTTGTATTTACAAGTGGTAAATTAAATATTAATGTTCGTTGCAGGGAAGGCCCAGCTCGTTTGTGGTACATGCCGAACATTGTGTTTGTACCCCAGAGGGGCAAATTGGGTAAAGTGTCCCGGTTGCCAGGAAGTCAACTTTGTCCTTGAAGGTTGCATTTATATTTTTACTTCTTGCTTATTTGCTGCTTTCCAGTTATGTTGTGGACAGTATTAAATTTCCATTAATAAAATGAAGGAAAAAAATAAAATAAAATAAACTTTTCAAAAACCGTTACTTTTTTGCAGCTCATGAAGTTGGCCAAGTGAAGTGCGGAAGTTGTGAGGTTCTGCTTATGTATCTGCACGGAGCTCCAGCCGTGCAATGCACTTCGTGCCATTTTGTGACTGAAATCGAGGTACTT